TGCATCCTCTTCCGAAAGGTTAGACCAAACAACTAATGCCTCTGGTATGACTCTGCCTCCCGGCGCACCCATCTGAAATCAATGATGCGGGCTGGCTCAGTCTGCACTTGTCCTTCTTCTGAAAATATGGGAAGGGTCGCACTTGTAATGACTCCTGACTTTGGCCCCTTCTTCAGTAAGGAGATATGGAATACAAGGTGCAGTTTGGATGTTGCCGGAAGGTCCAGTTTGAAGGCCATTGATCCTATCCTCTCCAGGATTTTAAATGGGCCAAAATAGCGCGAGCTGAGTTTGTTCCACTGTTGGCTTGCAACCGAAATCTGCCTGAAGGGTTGTAATTTGAGAAACACCCAATCGCCTACTTCATATTGGACATTCTTGTGGTGTTTATCATAGGTGTGCTTCATCCATTGCTGTGCCTGTAAGAGATGATCTCTCAGTTCCCTTAGCACCTCATTCCATTGCGTTAGCTGTTCTTCAACGGCCACTACTGTGGTGGTTCCTTTTTCATAAGGAAGTAGAGGGGGAGGTCCCGACCATATAAAGCTCTGAAGGGTGTCATCCCCACAGCGCTATGGAAAGTGGTGTTGTACCACCATTTGGCCCAGTGGATCCACTTCACCCATTGTCTTGGTCGATCTCCCACGAAGCATCGCAGATATGTTTCGAGACTCTTGTTAACCGCCTCTGTCTGTCCATCAGATTGGGGGTGGTAGCTAGTTGACTTGAATAGTTTAACCCCGTGTAGGCGGAAAAGCTCAGCCCAGAAACGACTCATAAAGATAGGGTCCCTGTCTGATACAATTGAGCTGGGGAGCCCACGTAGGTGTGCACAATTTCCCGGAGGAATAATTCAACAACTGTGGCTGCTGTAAATGGGTGTGATAGAGGTAGGAAATGACTGTATTTTGTCAGTCTATCTACTACCACAAGGATAACTGTTTTGCCAGCAGAAACGGGCAATCCCGTGATGAAATCCATTGATATATCATCCCAGACTTGGGTTGGTATTGGGAGTGGTTGCAAGAAGCCTGCTGGTGTTGTAGTGGCCGACTTGTTTTGTTGGCATATTGCACACTTGGCTATGAAGTTTTGGATAGATGTACGCATGCCTTTCCAATGAAATTGTGTGGCGATGCGCTTTTGTGTTCGTAGGATGCCGAAGTGGCCACCCGTGGGTGAGGCATGGAATAATTCCAGGAGTTTTCTAAGATGAGCAGAGGCTGCCGGGATTTCGAAGCGTCCTTTGAAGAAGAGTAGATCATTCTTAATTGTGTACCCAGGGTGCAGTGAGGGATTTGCCAATACTTGGGCCTTCAACTGCTATAACTCCTTATGGGATTGGGCTTCTTTTCGCAGTAGATCCAGGAGTGGAGAAGTTGGGGAAGATACTAGTAACTGAAATGACTGTGGGTGCCGTGAGAGGGCGTCCGCCACTCGGGTTAGCAGTCCTTGCTTTGTATTCAATTCTGTAGTCGTACCCCAGTAGCTTGGATATCCAGCGTTGTTGTTCCGGGGATAGAACTGATTGATCCAATAAGAACTTCAGACTTTAATGGTCAGTCCGAATTGTGAATAGTCTACCAATCAAGTAGGATCGCCAACATTGGACTGCTAAGGCTATTGCTATTAATTCTCGCTCATAAACTGATTTGGCCCGCTTTTGTGATGTTAAGGCCTTGCTGAAAAAGGCTAGTGGTCCTCTTGCATGAGAACAGCCCCAACGCCTTGACCCGAGGCATCACACTCAATGATGAAATCTTTTGTGAAATCGGGCAGTGCTAATGTTGGAGGGCACACAACTGCTTGTTTCAATTGCTCAAAAGCTTGTTGGGCCTGGTTTGACCAGTTAAAAGTGTCTTGTTT